AAAAAAATAGGAAGTAATCTCTTTATAAGAGATTAAACACAATTAAAATAAATAAATAAATTCTCTTTATTTCCTGATCAAAATACAAATAACTTTTGCTACATTTATAAGACCCTGAATTGAAATAAATATAATTGAAAGCCTGCTCCTAATAGTAACTATGAAATCTAGATTCCAAAGGTTAGAGTAAACATCAAACTTGTTAGCTACAAACCGCAAGTGAATGACTATGAAGATTGTCGATCCCACAAGGGTTGGTCTACTTATATCCAATGCTCGGCTCTTGATCTTCACTTCAATGCATTATTCTCGTTCTGCCCGTTTCACTAATATAACTCTAGTTTGGAGATTTCAACCTACAAAGATAAAAATGAACAAAAATCAATAATAAAAGGTTAAAACACACTCGAACTATTAACAAAAGATTTACTTAGAGGTCAAGATACGTGTAAGAATTACTGTTACTAGAAGACATCAGCTAGATAAGAGCACTCTAGAACCTCCTCTTTCCCAATCAGTCTGGGTAAATTCTTCGGGAGACTCGTTGGGGTATCATTCCCATAAGTCTGTTCAAAAATCTTAAAGACGCACATTCATCAAAAGAAGAAATTATTCGTTACTGGTTATGTACCAAGGGGAATTGTATGAACTAAATCAGTCTCTTAAAGTAAATATTCTAATATATATTTGACCTCAACTTAGATTAATACTGATCATGCAATTGACTGAAGTTAGACATTTGAAGACAGCTTGGAAGGCTTTCGACCAGGGGTGAATCTAGCATTAACATTCAGCTAGGGCGAAGGTTGACTTTGACCGTTGACCATCGACAATCAACGATCGTAAAAGCCGGTTCGGTTGGCGACCGATCGTTTATTAAAATTTGATTAAATAATATTAAAAATTATTCAATATATATGTAAATGTACTAAAACATAGAAATTATATACTTATGAAAATATAGTTCGTTTCGAAATAGACTTTCGTTTCGGTTGAAAAAATCGTTCCATAATTTGCAAAATGTCCCAATTTAATTTTCAATTAAAATTGATTAAAAAATCAAAAATTCAACATTCAAGTTTGGATGGAGCTTATCAAATAATACAATGTGAAAGCATTCTAAAACAATTACTAATAAACAATACGATTTTGTTTTGAGTTTCAGTTCTGGACATGACTGCATAGTAGAATGGATAAGCCATAAATTAGTATCTATTCTCGAATGTTTTTGATAATGGAAATATCATTGTTTCTTTTAGTTATTGATCACTACTATGATCTAATGTTGCACTTAAACAATAAAACTATATTAGTGTTGGAGGATGAAGCCGTGTTTTAGATTAATAAGGTCTAAAGCAATGTTTATTTATGATTGATGAGATGGGAAATCGTTGCTTCGTTAAGTATTAGATTGTTTTATGAAATCAATAAGTAAATATTCTAGTGTTCCCAGCAGCATGAAATTGAGGCTTCGAAATTGGACGCCAATAACAAATATAAAATCCTCTTCAATTGACTAAAATGGTAAGCATAAAGCATGTTAACATTAATACCGAAGATCAAACATTCTAGTACAATTTTCAATATTGTAGACATTTATAAAATTCATGGCTTTCTAACATAGCCGAGGGAATTTTCTTACTCAATTGAAATTTATTTTAGAGAGAGTGAACTCATCCAATCTAGCATAAGATATTAGTACTCCAAAGTGGCATCTTCATTGCTAA